GCGGCCGGACGGGAGGCAGGGATGCCCACACAGCCGAGTCTGTGCACAGACGTCCGCAGCAGGGGCCGAGCTGGGCCTCAGGCGGCCAGAGCCTCAAGGAATTGTCTGCCTGGCCGGACCCGCAGCGGCGGGCGCCCGTGCGGGCCTCGCTTCCCAGGAGCACGCAGGCCGCAGGAAGGGGGCCGCGGGATGGGGACAGCGGGGGCTGCCCCGCGCCGGGGCGGGGCCCCGGGTCCGCCGGCAGCCCGGTCCCCTGCCGGCGACCCCCGCCCCGCGGCTGGGGTCTCACGGGGAGCACCGGCGGGGGCCCTGACCCCCACCGTGGAGACGGGGGGGTGCGGGGCGGAGGCGCGGCCGACCCCCCCCAGCAGTCCCCGGGCGCGCGGCGGGCGCGGGCCGGCGGTGGGCGCTGTACGCGTGGCACTGTTTACGGCGGCGGGAGGCGCGGCCGCGGGAAGATGGCGACGCGCGGGCGGGGCGGGCGGGGCCGGGCGGGAGGCCGGGGCGCGGGCGGGGCGCGCCTCCCGCGGGCCGGCGGCCGGGCGCGGGGCGGGGGGCGGCGGTACCTGCTGTTGGGGGCCTTGCGCACCAGGCCGGCTGCCTTTGTTTTCTTCCTGGAGAAGTCGCCGTCGAAGGGCAGCACCGAGGCGTAGCCGTGCTCGGCCTCTGCGGACAGACGGCGCGGTCAGCGGCCCCCCGCGCCCGCCCGCCGCCCGCCCACCCGGGCACAAAGGGGCGCGGGCTACCTCGGTCCCTGCGCTCCAGGTACTCGGCCGCCTCCAGCAGCAGCAGCAGGGAGTTCAGCTCCATCCTGCCGCCCGCGCCCGGGACGGCGGCGGCCGCTGCCCGGCGCGCTCCGGCCGGCTCCGCTCGCCGCCCGCCCCGCGCCCGGCGGCACACTCGCCAGACTCGCGGACTCCTGCGCTCGGCCGCCACCCTCCGCCTCGGGCCCTCAAATTGACACATAAGGGAGAGCGGCGGGTGGGGCGGCCAATAGGCGCGGGCGCTGCGGCCCCGGGGGCGGGCGCCGTGCCGGGCCCCGGCCAATGGGGACGGGCCGAGCGCCTCGGGCAGGGCCGAGAATGTTGACAGATGCAAGGCTAGGCCGGGATAGGCTGGCCGCGCTAGTAACAATTTAGAAGCCCAAGCTTAGCAACAGCACGTGGTGGCCCGGCCCCCGCGCGCGCTGACTGGCGGCCCCCGTGCATGTTAAGTAGTTGCCGCGCGCCGATTGGCCCAGAGCGGCCTATGTAAATTGAAACCGCGGGCCAATGGGCGCTGGCCGGGCGCGCGGCCAATGAGGGCCCTGGAGGCCGGACGGACCCGTTGCCGAGAGGAAGCGGCGCGCCGCGGGCCGGTCGCGGGCCGGGCCTGCGCGGGGCCGGGCCGGACGCGGCGGGGCGCGGGGGGCCCCGGACCGCGAGCCCAGGGCCGGGGCGGCACGGGCTCCGCGGAGCACGCGGCCTGGCGTCCCGCGTCGGGGTCCCTGCGTCGCTGCGCGCCGCAGGTGGCTCCTGGAAGCCGGGACGCGGGAGCGGGGTGGGGACGGCCGGAGACTGGAGCCAGGCACCCCGGGGGCCAGCGGAGAAGCCGAGGCCCCGCCCGGCCGCCGGGGCCCCCGGCGCGGCCGCCTCGGGCTCCCTCGTGGCTCTCGGTGCGGGGCCTGGCCGGGGTGAGAGGGAGCGGCCCACGGCGCGCGCTCCCGGTGAGTGTCCACCTGCCCCGCGGACGGCGGCCTCCACGCGCCCGGAGCCCCCCGCAGAGCGGGGCTGGAGCCGGCGCCGAAGCGCCCCGGTGCTCCCTCCCCCGGGAAGCTTCTAGACCTTCCACCCCGCCGGGCGATCCGTGGCTTCCCCTCTCTGGCCCCGGGTCACCGCACCGCGCAGCTTGTCAGTTGTCTGCTGGCCTCGGCATCGCATCGAACCCCCCCCCCCCACAGGGTCATTAGGTTGGTAGATACCCCCCCACACACAGGGTCATTAGGTTGGTGGACCCCCCCCACAGGGTCATTAGGTTGGTAGATACCCCCCCCACACACAGGGTCATTAGGTTGGTAGACACAGGGTCATTAGGTTGGTAGATACCCCCCCCCCACACACAGGGTCATTAGGTTGGTAGATACCCCCCCCACACACACAGGGTCATTAGGTTGGTAGATACCCCCCCCCCCACACACAGGGTCATTGGGTTGGTAGACACTCCCTCCTCCCATCCCCCATGAACCAGCCCTACCGCCTCCCCTAGATGCCGAGCATGTGCTGGGCCTCAGGGCTGGAGGGCGGCCCGTCAGTCATCTCCCAGCCAGCCGTCTGCCTCACAGACCCAGGTCAGCTGGTTTGTACAACGCCCTGAGAGCCACCATGAGCCGGGCAAAGCCCCGGCTGCTTGCGCCCGAAGCCGGCTGGTGCTCCAGCAGGAGCCAGGAGTCCGTGGAGTTCTGTCTTGGTCTCTCCCTGCAGCCACTCCGGATTCTGGTTTGGCCAAGTCACCTGTTTCTGTAGTTATAAAATGGACATGGCTGCACTACCACTTGGGGTGGCGTAGACTCGGTGAAACACTTCATGGACAGCCCTGGGCTGGACAGCAGGCTGGGCACAAAGCGGTGCCCAGAAGTAGCAGACCAGGGAACAGCGCCCAAGTCAGTACTTGCATGCGCCAAACTCCTGGTCCCGCCCACGGAGGGGAGGGGAAGGAAGGGGAGGTGCCTGCCTGGTCACAACTGGCCAGAACCGGCTGCCAGGCTGGCCCACCACGAGCCCGGGTCAGGCCTTGAGAAAGTTTGACATGCAGGAAAACATTGTTTTCAGAATACAAAAGACAGGGAAATCAGGGTACTTAAAGGTGTGATCAAATGTCTATGGAGCCTGATATAACTCCAATGTTACTTTTAATTTTTAAATAAAACAACTAATCCTACTTGTGAACGACTGTCAGAGTGGATTTTTGTTCTCAACTTATAAAGGTTTCCCCACTTTGCTGATGAGCCCTGCACAGTTTAGCAATTATAAATTAGAGTTTCTTGTAGCCAAAAATATCCTCAAAAGCAAAAAAGATAAAATATCCTTTTAAAAGCTTTTTGAGAAGGAAAAGAAGCCCTAAGGAGGGATATGTGGGGTGGATGAGTGTCCTCGGGGGTGAGCAGGTGGCCCTTAAAGTGGAGGTGCCCAGTCTCTGACCCCTCTGAGCACAGAGCATGCCCAGCCCAGCCCTGCTGCCGTACAGCCCCAAGAGGCTGTGGGGCATCCTTCCTGAAGAAGAGAGCCTGGGGTGGGGCAGGTCTTCCACAAGGGAAAGAGGTGTTGATGTGCGCTGGCTGTGTTTGGGGCTGTGTTGTGCTGTGTGCTGGGGTGGTGACAGCATTGCTAACAAGGAAGGCTGCCTGGAGGTGGCAGTCTCGGAAGGAAACAGGTCTCCTCAGCTCTCCCTGCACAGCCAGCGGGCGGGCCCACGGAGTCCTGGCTTCGGGGTGCCGGCAGCTTTCACCCAACCTGGCTGGCCAGGGCGTGCAACCCCACGGGTAGCCTCCTCGGAGTCTGCCCTGCCTCCGTCACGGCTGTGTCAGATGCAGGCCTCTCTGGAGCCTCCACCCATCTGCGGGGTTCTGAAAACCAGGACCTGGCCACTGGGTGATGGCGGTGGAGGGACCTCTATCAGAGGTGGCACCCTGGGAGCCCGCAGGCCCTGAGGAGGCAGTGTGTGGGGTGCCCCCTGGTGGCTGTGAGGTGCTGTGGTTGGAGTCTGGGCTGGACCAAAGGAGGAAGACATGGAGGAGGTGGTGTGTCAGTGACTCCAGCCCCAGTTTGGCCTTTAGCAAGGACACCAACGGTCCTGAGCCCCGTGCTGTGATGCGGCCCATGTAACCAGCTGACTCTCCCCACTCCCTCCCCTCAGTACAGCACTCTGCCTCCCAGCCAGGGTCCCGTGATCTGCGTGGACAGGCCAGCCGTCCAGTGCCACACACAAGGGGAAGGGCTGCAGGGCCAGCGGCAGAGGCCAAGTGTGTCCTGGCACTGATGGAGTGGAATCTCGGCGCTGAGCCTTTAGGGGTCCCTCCCCTGCTCCTCCCGTGCTACCTCTGGTCACCTCCCAGGCTGCCACGTTCTGCTTGCTGGGCTGCCTCGTGGGGCGCTGTGTCTTAAGTCTGGATCTGAGCACCCGTGGTCAGGGCCCCTTTGGCCTTGGGCCCCTGCTGTGATTGGAAGCTGGGGTGGGGCTGCCGGGGACACCCAAGGGCCCAGTGTCAGCCTGTGTGCCGTCTCTGGCTGCCGGCCGGGTGATGGGACAGGACGGCCCGGGAGTGCCTTCCCCGCACCTATCTGTGGCCACTGCAGCTTCCGGCCCTGTGGTCCTTCCTCTAGCTCACAATCCAGCTCTGCCACTTACTGGCCTCCTCGAGCCTCAGTTCCCCATCAAGATGGACCTCCTCCCCTAGGTGGACGGACGTGATGCCTTATGTCCAGACTGGAAGATGACCACTGAGTGCAGGGCTGGGCTTTGGGGCTGGAGGCTGTGGGGCCTCCTGAGGGTCAGCTGTCCGCAGGGGAGGGCCATCTCTGCGCTCCGTCCAGGCAAGCAGGAGCGGCCCCCCGACGCTCCTCTCCTCCCCAGGGTTTCGTCCTGGGTGGGGGAGCCCAAGCTCCAAACCATCGGCCAGAAAGGGGATATGGGAGCTGCTGTGAGACTCAGCCCCAGCCACGACTCCCAAGGGACTGGGCCCCCAGGTCCTCACTGCCCCGGCCGTGAGCAGGGGCCGCCTCCTCCAGCCACCCCACCCCCTGCTGGGCTAGGCCACAGCAGCACAGGAACACAGGGACCAGCAGGATGGTGGCGGGAGGAGCGGCGGCCGCCCCCCCCCCCCCCCCAGGGCTGATGGAAAGCCATGTCTGCCTTCCAGCCGTTGTAAGAGTGGCACCAGTCCATGTCAGCGCCCACACCTTCATGTCTGGGGGAGGGGGGGAGAAAGTCGTCAGCGTCCACAGAAGACATGAGAGCCTCTGCAATCCTTAAATAGATTTATGGAAATGGTCTCCAGTTACAGCATTTAGAAAATAAAAATAATCTCAATACATAAGATTCCCTCTGTTACATACTCTCCCCCCCAGAAGCCATTTTTGTGCATGTGTATGCCACTGCTGAGCGACAGCGGGTTTTTGTCTATAAAAGAAGCAGTAGGTGTGTCATCTCTAAAAACAAAACTGCAATCGTCATTGCAATGTGAAGCCTGAGATTGAAGCCTGAGGAGACGGCGCGCAGGGGCCATTTGGCTGTCTCAGCCTGGGTCCCAGCGGCTGTGGGTCTGAGGGGTGGGCCCAGGGCCCAGGGCGCAGGGGGAGGAGGGTAGTGCTGGCCACGGGCGGTCTCCGTGGTCCTGTGCCGCCCGGGGCCGGGGCCCAAGAACCTGAAAACCTTCTACCCACGGGGTCTGGGCCCAGCCGATACCTGCTGTCTGCCTGCACTGGGCTGTGTGTGCCTAGGCCGGGGCATGTCCGTGTGCCTCAGGGCCACTGGGCTGGCATTCCACTGTTCCCTCGGGGAAGAAATGAGATATGTGTCCTGGAGCGGGGTCCTAAGGCGGGCAGCGGGACAGGGAAGGATGTGGGGAGCAAGCACAGGAGCCCCTGGCTCCTGCTTCCAATCGCCAGCCACAGAGAGCAGCCACGCCTGCGTCCCTGCGTCCAGAGCGGCCTCTGGGGCGGGTGGAGGAGCCCCCCCTGCTCCACCAGGTGGCCTGCCCCAGAGGCAGCCCCCAGGCACCCCTGGTCCTCCACAGGGAAAGAAGACCTGTCGGGCCCCTGCAGCAGACCTGGCCACCAGGCTGGGGACCGAGGCTGGGGACAGTGGCAACCTGAGCAGGGCTACAGCAACGGCAGCAGCTCGCTGGGGCACGAGGACACCTCCGGGGCGGCCCGTGCGTGCGTGTGTGCGTGTGCGTGTGCTCGGGCAGCAGGGCCGGGAGGAGCCCGGCCTTCCCGGAGTCCCGGGCCCCAGAGCAGCTGGGGTCCCGTGTGGTGTCACATGCCTGCCTTGTCGCTGTAGAACGGGGTGACGTGGAACACGTAGCAGTGTGTGCACACGCGGACCGGCTTCACCTGCCCATAGCGTGGCAGCGGTGCTGAGTGCGGCGAGCAGCGGGAGCAGAAGATCTGGAAGGCAGAGGGACATTGGCGCCGAGCGGGGGGGTCCCGCTCGCCCCTCGGGTCCTCCCTCCAGCCAGGCCGAGCTGTGGCAGGAGGGATCTGCCTGGCCCAGGCCCTGGGGGCTGTGGAGCTGGGACCTGCAGGCACCCCTGGGCAGGAGGCCGGGCTCCAGGGCCTGTGTCACCACTGCCGATGCTTCCCACTCAGGCTCTGGCCCCGTCCCGTGTCTGGCTCTGAGGCACTGGACGTGGCATCATCCAAGTGTGGGCTGATTGCCTGGCCAGGACTGAGAGGGGGCCATGTGCCTGAGGAGCCAGAAGGGCTGCTCGCCTCCCACAACCACAGAGCTTGGTCTGGGGGAGACGCTGGGCAAGCACACCACCCGAGCTTGGTCTGGGGGTGCGCCGGGCGAGTACACCACCCGAGCTTGGTCTGGGGGTGCGCCGGGCGAGCACACCACCCGAGCTTGGTCTGGGGGCGGGCACAGCACCCGAGCCTGGTCTGGGGGCAGGCACAGCACCCGAGCTTGGTCTGGGGGCAGGCACAGCACCCGAGCTTGGTCTGGGGGCAGGCACAGCACCCGAGCTTGGTCTGGGGGGTACGCCGGGAGAGCACACCACCCGAGCTTGGTCTGGGGCCACGCGGGGCAAGCACACCACCCGAGCTTGATCTGAGGGAGATGCTGGGCGAGCACACCACCCGAGCTTGGTCTGGGGGCAAGCACACCACCCGAGCTTGGTCTGGAGGAGATGCCGGGCGAGCACAGCACCCGAGCTTGGTCTGGGGGCGGGCACAGCACCCGAGCTTGGTCTGGGGGCAAGCACACCACCCGAGCTTGGTCTGGGGGGTACGCTGGGTGAGCACAGCACCCGAGCTTGGTCTGGGGGCAGGCACAGCACCCGAGCTTGGTCTGGGGGCAGGCACACCACCCGAGCTTGGTCTGGGGGCGGGCACAGCACCCGAGCTTGGTCTGGGGGTGAGCACAGCACCCGAGCTTGGTCTGGGGGGTACGCTGGGTGAGCACAGCACCCGAGCTTGGTCTGGGGGCGGGCACAGCACCCGAGCTTGGTCTGGGGGCGGGCACACCCACCTTCCCGCAGCTCCGGCAGTGGTGCTTCCTGCGGATGACTGTGAAGGGCGCTTTGCAAGCCGTGCAGAAGCCACAGGCCTCGTCTGGCACCCACTCAGGGGGATCTGTCACAAGAGCCAGGAGCCCATGAACCGGGTGGGGTGGGTGGGCAGGCGTCCTGACCTCCCTTCCCCCCCCCCGTCACCCCCTCCCCCCCCACCCCCTGACGTCTCCCCCACTCCCCCAACCCCCCCCCCCCCCCCCCCGTCCTGGACTTCAGTGTCTGGCTGTGATTTGAGGAACAGACTACAGCCCAGGGGTTCTTCTCAGCCATCACCTAGGTAACCACGCCCCAGCTGCAGGCCAGGCCTGGCCACCTGGACTTGGGGTGTGCAGCAAGGCCCCTCTGTCCACCCAGAAGACCGAGGCCTTCTCTCCCGGGTGTCCTCTGCTGACTCCGGTCGCCTGGTGCCGCCAGTCTTCTGTCATCCATCTTGGAAGGAACCCAGACCTCAGGACCAGACTGGCATGCCATGTGGGGGTCTCTCCCACAAAGGTGCCGGGGTACCCCCAAACAGACCCTGACTTCCTGCCAGCTCAGCCGTCTGGTCTCCAGCCAACTCCAGGCTGATAACGGAGAGGGTCCCCCTGATCTCACAACACTAAACTGGGCAGTCTGCAGCCCCGCTGGCCACAAGAAAGGCTCTGGGACTCCGGAGTTCCCAGGGGAAGGCTCTGAGGCCCCCAGAGCCCCCTGTGAGGAAAGTCCCCAGTTAGTGTGCGGAGTGTCCTCCACCGCCGTGCAGGGCCGCTCTGTGGTGCCCGTGAGCTCTGAGTGTCAGGGGCAGCCAGCCCCTCACCCGACACCTCCTTGACTCCCCACATCATCTGGTTTGTGCCCGCTGGGATGACAGATCTGTGTTCACATGGCAACAAGGGGCTGCGCGCCAAGCCGAGGCGGGGGGGGGGGGGGGGGGGGAGACGGAGGCAGCCTCCCCTGGAAGCTGCACCCCATGTGGCGGAAGCCGAGAGCATCCACAGCAGTTGGGCAGGCCCGGCCCACGCTCCCCACTCACCTTCCAAGTCCCCGGCCCGGGTCTTGGCGGCGAGCTCGGAGGAGGAGAGGGGCTCTTGGCACAGCGCGCAGTCCTCCAGGGCTGCCCTCCGCAGGCTCTGGGACGCTGAAGGAGAGGGGCCGCTGGAGCCGGGTGTCCTCGGCGGCCCCTGGCGGCCACCGTGGTGCTCCCAGAAGGCACGGGCCCCTCAGCACATGGAGCGCGAGGGATGACCCAAAGGGCTCCTTCTGGTGACCTTCTTCATGCTGGGGGAGGAGGCTGAGGTGCATGGTGCATGCATGTATTCTCCCCCATGCATGGTTTGTGTGCCCCCCCCTGTGATGCATGCAGCTCCCCCCATGAGCACATCCTGCCTGGGAGCACTTCTCCCCCATGAGCACATCCTGCCTGGAGCACTCCTCCCCTGACAGCGTCCTGCCTGGAGCACTCCTCCCCTGACAGCATCCTCCCTGGGAGCACTCCTCCCCTGACAGCGTCCTCCCTGGGAGCACTCCTCCCCTGACAGCATCCTGCCTGGAGCACTCCTCCCCAGAGCGTCCTCCCTGGGAGCACTCCTCCCCTGACAGCGTCCTGCCTGGAGCACTCCTCCCCAGAGCGTCCTCCCTGGGAGCACTCCTCCCCTGACAGCGTCCTCCCTGGGAGCACTCCTCCCCTGGGAGCGTCCTGCCTGGGAGCACTCCTCCCCTGACAGCGTCCTGCCTGGAGCACTCCTCCCCTGGGAGCGTCCTGCCTGGGAGCACTCCTTCCCTGACAGCGTCCTGCCTGGAGCACTCCTCCCCTGACAGCGTCCTCCCTGGAGCACTCCTCCCCTGACAGCGTCCTCCCTGGGAGCACTCCTCCCCAGAGCGTCCTCCCTGGAGCACTCCTCCCCTGAGAGCGTCCTGCCTGGGAGCACTCCTCCCCAGAGCGTCCTCCCTGGGAGCACTCCTCCAGTGACAGCGTCCTGCCTGGAGCACTCCTCCCCTGACAGCGTCCTGCCTGGAGCACTCCTCCCCTGACAGCGTCCTGCCTGGAGCACTCCTCCCCTGACAGCGTCCTGCCTGGAGCACTCCTCCCCAGAGCGTCCTCCCTGGGAGCACTCCTCCCCTGACAACGTCCTGCCTGGAGCACTCCTCCCCTGACAGCGTCCTCCCTGGGAGCACTCCTCCCCTGACAGCGTCCTCCCTGGAGCACTCCTCCCCTGACAGCGTCCTCCCTGGAGCACTCCTCCCCTGACAGCGTCCTGCCTGGAGCACTCCTTCCCTGACAGCGTCCTCCCTGGAGCACTCCTCCCCTGACAGCGTCCTGCCTGGGAGCACTCCTCCCCAGACCGTCCTCCCTGGGAGCACTCCTCCCCTGACAGCGTCCTCCCTGGGAGCACTCCTCCCCAGAGCGTCCTCCCTGGGAGCACTCCTCCCCTGACAGCGTCCTGCCTGGGAGCACTCCTCCCCAGAGCGTCCTCCCTGGAGCACTCCTCCCCTGACAGCGTCCTCCCTGGGAGCACTCCTCCCCTGACAGCGTCCTCCCTGGGAGCACTCCTCCCCTGACAGCGTCCTCCCTGGGAGCACTCCTCCCCTGACAGCGTCCTGCCTGGGAGCACTCCTCCCCAGACAGCGTCCTGCCTGGAGCACTCCTCCCCTGACAGCGTCCTGCCTGGAGCACTCCTTCCCTGACAGCGTCCTCCCTGGGAGCACTCCTCCCCAGAGCGTCCTCCCTGGGAGCACTCCTCCCCTGACAGCGTCCTGCCTGGGAGCACTCCTTCCCTGACAGCGTCCTGCCTGGGAGCACTCCTCCCCAGAGCGTCCTCCCTGGGAGCACTCCTCCCCTGACAGCGTCCTCCCTGGGAGCACTCCTCCCCAGAGCGTCCTCCCTGGGAGCACTCCTCCCCTGACAGCGTCCTGCCTGGGAGCACTCCTCCCCAGAGCGTCCTCCCTGGAGCACTCCTCCCCTGACAGCGTCCTCCCTGGGAGCACTCCTCCCCTGACAGCGTCCTCCCTGGGAGCACTCCTCCCCTGACAGCGTCCTCCCTGGGAGCACTCCTCCCCTGACAGCGTCCTGCCTGGGAGCACTCCTCCCCAGACAGCGTCCTGCCTGGAGCACTCCTCCCCTGACAGCGTCCTGCCTGGAGCACTCCTTCCCTGACAGCGTCCTCCCTGGGAGCACTCCTCCCCAGAGCGTCCTCCCTGGGAGCACTCCTCCCCTGACAGCGTCCTGCCTGGGAGCACTCCTTCCCTGACAGCGTCCTGCCTGGAGCACTCCTCCCCTGACAGCGTCCTCCCTGGGAGCACTCCTCCCCTGACAGCGTCCTGCCTGGAGCACTCCTTCCCTGACAGCGTCCTCCCTGGGAGCACTCCTCCCCTGACAGCGTCCTCCCTGGGAGCACTCCTCCCCTGACAGCGTCCTGCCTGGAGCACTCCTCCCCAGAGCGTCCTCCCTGGGAGCACTCCTCCCCTGACAACGTCCTCCCTGGGAGCACTCCTCCCCAGAGCGTCCTCCCTGGGAGCACTCCTCCCCTGACAGCGTCCTGCCTGGGAGCACTCCTCCCCTGACAGCGTCCTGCCTGGAGCACTCCTCCCCTGGGAGCGTCCTGCCTGGGAGCACTCCTTCCCTGACAGCGTCCTGCCTGGAGCACTCCTCCCCTGACAGCGTCCTCCCTGGAGCACTCCTCCCCTGACAGCGTCCTCCCTGGGAGCACTCCTCCCCAGAGCGTCCTCCCTGGAGCACTCCTCCCCTGACAGCGTCCTGCCTGGAGCACTCCTCCCCAGAGCGTCCTCCCTGGGAGCACTCCTCCCCTGACAACGTCCTCCCTGGGAGCACTCCTCCCCAGAGCGTCCTCCCTGGGAGCACTCCTCCCCAGAGCGTCCTCCCTGGAGCACTCCTCCCCTGAGAGCGTCCTGCCTGGGAGCACTCCTCCCCAGAGCGTCCTCCCTGGGAGCACTCCTCCAGTGACAGCGTCCTGCCTGGAGCACTCCTCCCCTGACAGCGTCCTGCCTGGAGCACTCCTTCCCTGACAGCGTCCTGCCTGGAGCACTCCTCCCCTGACAACGTCCTGCCTGGAGCACTCCTCCCCCAGAGCGTCCTCCCTGGAGCACTCCTCCCCTGACAGCGTCCTGCCTGGAGCACTCCTCCCCTGACAACGTCTTGCCTGGAGCACTCCTCCCCAGAGCGTCCTCCCTGGGAGCACTCCTCCCCTGACAGCGTCCTGCCTGGAGCACTCTTCCCCTGACAGCGTCCTCCCTGGAGCACTCCTCCCCTGACAGCGTCCTGCCTGGAGCACTCCTCCCCTGACAGCGTCCTCCCTGGGAGCCCTACTCCCCTGACAGCGTCCTCCCTGGGAGCACTCCTCCCCTGACAGCGTCCTCCCTGGGAGCACTCCTCCCCTGACAGCGTCCTGCCTGGAGCACTCCTCCCTGACAGCGTCCTCCCTGGGAGCACTCCTCCCCTGACAGCGTCCTGCCTGGAGCACTCCTTCCCTGACAGCGTCCTGCCTGGAGCACTCCTCCCCCAGAGCGTCCTCCCTGGAGCACTCCTCCCCTGACAGCGTCCTGCCTGGAGCACTCCTCCCCTGACAACGTCCTGCCTGGAGCACTCCTCCCCCAGAGCGTCCTCCCTGGAGCACTCCTCCCCTGACAGCATCCTGCCTGGAGTACTCCTCCCCTGGGAGCGTCCTCCCTGGAGCACTCCTCCCCAGAGCGTCCTCCCTGGGAGCACTCCTCCCCTGACAGTGTCCTGCCTGGAGCACTCCTCCCCTGGGAGCGTCCTGGGAGCACTCCTCCTCTGGGAGCGTCCAGCCTGGCAGCTCACAGTCCTGTTTGAGAGCGAGTACCCATTTTGGATGTTCCTGATCTATGACTTCCAGGTGGCAAAGCTGGTAAGTACAGAAGCTCCTCGGGACCGTCCTGCTGGGCTGGGCTTCCAGAGGTGATGCACTATGCCAGGTACCCAAACACCCCTCAGCAGAAGCCCTGAGCTGCATCTCAGCTCAGCAAGGAGCAGGGAGCAGGGGTCCGAACACCTCCTCCCTGCACCTGACCAGCCCGCATCAGACACCTCTTCCTTGCCAGACACCGACAGTGCGTACGCGGCCTGCTGGAGCGTGGAGGTGTGCCCTGTGTGACGGTGTGATGCGTGTGCCTTCCATGTGCGCCATGCCACACAGAGGCAGCCCGCAGCCCGCGGGGGACACTGCCCCTGCTCATGGAAGGGGGCCCACACCCCTCGCTCTGGCTGGCCTGTGAAGGTATTGACAGATGGCCAGAGGTGGCATGGTGGCACATCTGGTCTAGTTTTTAAGAGGGAGGGCAGGTCTCTCCCGCATCTGTCTGCGGTAAGACCTCCAGACCCCGCCGGGGACTGGAGCAGGGTCGCCGCCGGCAGCATGGCAGGGGAGGCCACCTCCATGGGCGGTCCCCAGCGGACAGCCTGGCACATTTGGTCATGCCAGTCCAGTGGTGAGCGGTTGGCTCGCTCAGGCACTGCCCGTTCCCCTGGCTGGGAGGTGTGTGTTCGGTGTCCCTTCTTGGGCGGCCACTCACCCTTCTTTAGCTTGTCCCTGTCATCTGCCTCTGGCTTGGTGGCCATGACCTCAAACAGCGTTTTGAGAATACTTCTCAGGTCACTGGCATAGTTCGTCTGCAGTTGGTCAGCCACACCTGAGGGGCAGGACAGAAGGACAGGGAAGGCTGACCTCAGTGGAGGCCAGTGCCACGGGCTAGGTGGGGCTCAGCAGGCCCCGGCCTCTGGGGCGGTACGGAGGGGGAGAGTGCTTCCTGCAAGGCCGCACCACACCACAGCTCCCAGCCGTGCGGACTGCTCGGCCAGGGACCCGCGAGAGCCGCCCCCCGCTGGGCCACCGCCACCATCAGAGGCGGGGCGTCCAGACATGCCCAGGGCCACAGTGTGGACCACACGTGCAGGGCCCCAGGGGCGCCCCAAGCCGCTCCGCTCCCCGCACAGGCCTCCCCCGTCCTTTCTGGTGGGCAGGGCTGGCCTTCCTCAAGAGGGGTGGAGGGATGGCTCTGCCCACAGCCCCACAGCGGGGCCCTGACGTCCGCGCTGCCCACCGCACGCACGGCCAGGGAGGCCGGCCCCGCGGCTCCCAGGCCCCCACCCGGCCCACCACACACCTGAAATGCAGACAAACAGGCGGTGGATGAGGTCCTGGCTGCCGTGGAACCTGGACCGGATCTTCTCTCTGGAGGCGGCGGGGGTCACAGGCATGGCAGCCTGGCTGCCCTCCAGCCCGGTCTTGTCTGAGGAGCAGGAGCTGGGGGTGGAGCTGCTGCAGAGAAGGGAGGCAGGGTGGGTGGGGGCAGTGCCGGGGGCTGAGGGAGCCCAGGGGTCAGCCGGGCGGAGGGACAGACAGATGGATGAGGCAACAGCCTCCCCACTACCGCCCTCCTCGAGAGGACTTGCACATGGCATCCGTGTGAAAAAAAAACATTGATGTGATCCAAGTGAGCCCCTGGAGAACCAGGCAGAACCCTGGAGAACCGGTGCCCGACCTCATCTGGACCGTGATGGCTACGCCCTGGGAGTAAGCCCTTCCGGACCCTTCCGGTGAGTCTCCTAAGCTCAAGCCACTCCCCTTTGTGTCCTTGTCCAGCGCTGTCTCCTGACGTGCTCCTGGCTGCCACACCCTCTGTGGGGGGCTCAACGTGGCCCAGAACCTCTGAGTACACCTGCGCTGAGTACACCGTGACTAAGCAAAGGGCAAAACCACTCTGCAGTCCTCAACCCAACCACCAGTGTCCTTAGAAGACACAGAACTAGAGACGGGGCACTATCCCTGAGCTTTTGTGCTTAAGGCTAGTGCTTTACTGTTTTAAGCCACAGTGTCATTCCAGCTTTTGGGCAGTTAATTGGAGATAAGAGTCTCATGCCTCAACAGATGCTGGCAGGGATGTGGCCAAAAGGGAACACTACGACACTGCTGGTGGAAATATAAATCACTCTGGAAAGCAATATGGAGATTCCTCAAAAGACTAACATGGAGCTCCCCTATGATCCAGTAATCCCATTCCTGGGCATTTACCCAAACGATCACAAGCAACACCACACTGAAGCTACCAACACAACTATGTTCACTGAAGATGAACATCATCTAAGATCTGGAACCAACCCAGATACCCCTCAGTAGATTAATAGATCAAGAAAATGTGGAAGATATACACAATGGAATTCTGTGCTTCGATCAGAATGACATCACCCATTTGTAAGGAAATGGAAAGACTTGAAAAAAAATTAATTGAAGTAAGCCAGACCTAAAGACACATAGGCTCCATGGTTTCGCTCATTTGTAGTAATTAGCATATGTCTGGAATAGTCCTAGCAGAGGACCACAATAGCTCAATAGCTATGTACATATGAGCATATAAAATGATTCTAATCAAAATGAACTCTAAAATATGGAAATGAGTTTATTTTTTGTCGGTTGTGGGGCTTGAACACTGGGCCTGGGCGCTGTCCCTCAGCTCTTCAGCTCAAGGTGAGCGCTCTACCACTGGAGCCACAGCACCACTTCTGGCTTTTTCTGCTTATGTGGTACTGAGGAATCAAACCCAAGGCCTCTTGCATGCAAGGCAAGCGCTCTACCACTGAGCCACCTTCCCAGCCCTTTATTTCCTATTCTAACTGCTGTTTTGTGTATGCAATTTTTTGTCCATCTAGAAATGTTCATTACAATTCTTAAAATTGCCCCCTGAGGCCTACTCTGGGCCTACCCTTTTGGGGGTACTGGCCACCGGCCGTTTGCCCGGCTGGTGGTGTTCCTCAAGCGCTGGCCCTGCGTTGGAGGAAGGCGCATGTGTAGGGACCAGGAAGCTGCCCCTTGCTGGCGGGGCACGCACTGGCGCAGCCTCCGTGCAGGAAGTGCTCTGGTGCCATCCCTGCCCACTCGCCCACTCCTGCGGCCCCGGGCCTCCCGTGGCTCTGGGCAGCCTCCAGAAGAAACTGGAAAGGAGCCGAAGCCTGCACGCCACGGCGGGGAACCGGGGACCTGACCGCCCATCCCAGGGCGGCGTGTGGACGCAAGCCCACGCCAGCCCCGCGTGAGGAGGGACAGGCACCACGGCGGCCAGGACACCTCCTCCCACAAGGTCAGACCCATCCGGAAACACAAAGACAAGACACAAGGAGCACTTCGGGGTGCCACGTGGGGCTGCACGGGAGAGGCTGGGTGGGGAGAGGCCCTGGAACCCCGTGGGCTCCTTCCTTTATTGGAGGAGGGGGCGCCGGGACTCATCGCTCTGACCTAAAGCAATGGATGTTCCCTAGAACCCAGAGAAACGTGTGGGGGGGCATGGCGTGCAAGGCCATGGAACCCAGAGTTCTGCTGGGCCCGAGCGAGGATCTACACCCCACCCCGCACACCTAGACCACCCTGTTTACAGAGGTGAGGCCTCTGACCTCCAGCAGAGGTGCGGCCCTCACGGCCCCGTCCTGGGAGCTGAGGGACGTCAGCTTCCATTGCATAGCCACCAGCATAAGTAGACAGCCTCACAAGCACTGACAATGACAGATGCACAGAGACCTCCTCCGGTGGCATGGCTCACCCTGCCCAGAGACGGAAGACACCAAGGGCCCAGGGAGGAAACAAGCCGTGGCGGAATATCACTCCGCCCTCTCAAGGAATAAGACTTAGAGACCTGCTGCAGTCTGGCTGAGCCTTGGAGCATGCTGAGCGGGGCAAGCCAGACCTACAGTGAATTCCTGCAGAATCCCACTACGTGAGGTCCCTGGAGCAGGCAGCCAGCGAAGACAGCAGCGGAGGGGCCGAGGGGGGGTGGGCACAGTGTGGGAAGATGAGCACACTCTGGGGTGACGGCGACAGGGACTATGCACAGATGGATCATGTGCACGTGACATCACGGTGCCACCGAGCTGGGAACTAAGACCGTGAACATGAAAGCCACGCGCCAGGCGCTCAGGCCTACAACCTTAGCTCCTCAGGAGGCTGAGTTCCGAGAGATTGTAGGTCAGAGTCAGCTAGGTCAGAAAAAGCCCACAAGACTCCATCTCCCATTAACCAGCAAAAAGTAGGGTGGGAGACATGGCAGAGCTCCAGCTATGAGCAGGAAACTGAACAAATGTTTAAGGCTCAAACCCTGGTACTGACAAAAATAGAGAGAGATCAAACTAACTGTGTGTGTGAGTGTGTGTGCATGCATGTGGGAGTACATGCTGGTCCTGGGGCGTGAACTTGGCCCAGGTGCTGTGTCTTAGTTTTTTTGCTCAAGGCAGGCACTTTACCACTTGAGCTATAACTCCACCTCTGGCTTTTTGGCCATTAAAGAGTTTCACAAGCTGGGTGCTGGTGGCTCATGCCTGTAATCCTAGCTACTCAGGAGGCTGAGATCTGAGGATGGAGGTTCAAAGCCAGCCCGGGCAGGAAAGTCTGTGAGACTCTTATCTCCAATAAACCACTAGAAAACTGGAAGTGGCGCTGTAGCTCAAGTGGTAAAGCGCTCGCCTTGAGCTGAAGAGCTGAGGGACAGCGCCCAGGCCCAGCGTTCAAGCCCTACAACTGACAAAAAAAAAAAAACAAGTTTCACAGAACCTCCTTACTCAGGCTGGCTTTGAACTGAGGTCTCAGGTCCTGACCCTCCTGAGTAGTTAGGATGACAGGCATGAGCCAGTGGCACCTGACCAATTGATAATTATTTTGTGTTTTATATCTATATCTATCTATCTATCTATCTATCTATATGTTTTGCCAGAATAAATGTCCTTCTTTGGTGATACTGAGGTTGGAACTCAGGGTTTCATGCATGGTTAGCAGGTGCTCTACATTCCTCCACTCCTCATGAAATTTTAGAGGAAAATAGCCATCAGGGTAGAGGACAGAGACAAAGGAGCCAAGCTGAGTGTGGAAGAGAGGCTGGACCGGCGCGCCATTCGGCTGCAACAACATCCACGTGCTGAAATCCATTCGCAAGGGTGCCCCCCACCATCCGCCCAGTCCATTCGCGGCCTTCCGCAGCTTCCACATGCTCTGTGGCCATGCCCACCACTCTGCCCACGGAAGTTCAAAACACCATTGTCTGGTAGAGAGATACAGGGGGACTTGGTCACATCAGTCCCAAAGGTCTGGGTCAAGCCCGTGCCCAGGTGCAGCCAAGTGAGGCTGCAGCACTGTGCGACGGTTCCAAAGCTCTTCTCTGACAGCCCAGGGTTTCACTGTAGAAGTGGGTAACGCTATAAGCTGAGCTTCTGGAAGGTTGGGAGCCCAGGGCATAGCTTCATTCAGCAGCCTGATACAGCAGACAAACACATTTTACTCAAAAGCTTAATTCCAGTCACCTTTTCAAAAGACCGTAGCGAGCCCGGTGCTGTGGCCTAGAATCCCAGCTTCTCAGGAGACTGAGATAGGAGGATGGCTTCAAAGCCATCTTGAGCAGGAGAGTCTGAGAGACTCTTATCTCCACTAACTACCAAAACAAACAAAAAGCCCAAAGTGGAGCTGTGACTCAAGTGGAGTAAAATACTAGGCTCAGAGTTCAAGCCTTAGAACTGGCAGGCACACACACACCCAGACCATAGCAAAGCCCAAATGAATGTGGCTCAGCAAAGAATTTAGTAACCGAGTATATAGATATAAAAAGGCCTTCACTCCCTTGAGCTTCTCAGTCCGTGAAGCAAGAGTGAACACCGACAGGAAAGCCGACAGTACTGCAAGCTGTTCTGGCTACACAATCATGGATTCACCAGAATCCCCAAATCCATTGCAAGGCCTGGGTACCAGGAAGGAGATGCTGCGGGGCTGTCTGGGTGCGTCTTGCTGTGGGAGACGTGGGAACACAGACCTCTGCACAACCGCGTCCACCCAGCCCGTCATCTCCACCCCAACGCAGGTGATGGGGGCTGACCCCTGTAAAGGTCAGACCCATCAGCCACCTTCCACCACCCACCCAGCCACCCTCCATCCATCCATCCATCATCCAACCTACCCATCTATCCATCCATTCATCTAGCCACCCCCACCCACCCTTCATCCATATCCATCTCTCCATCCATCTCCCATCCACATCCATCCTTCCATCCGTCCATCCAGGCACTCACCCATGCCATCCACTTGTCCTAAAAATGTGTAATAGGAACCATGCTTATGGTAGAGTCACGACAGGGCACACTGCGGAGGGTTAGCGGAAGCTCTTCTTTTCCCTGAGGGCAGCAGGCCTGGGGTCCTGGGAGGACTTCCTGAGGACGGCCCGGGCAAAGGCCTTACGGCAGTCCCCGACTGCAGGGACCCACCCGGGCAATGCTGGGAAGACCAGTCGGTGG